AGCCTGTAATCCCAGCATATTGGGAGGCAGAGACAGTAGAATCACTTGAGACCAGGAGTTTGAGACTAGCTAGCCTGGGCAACACAGGAAGACTTGATCTCTGTTTAAAAAAAAAAAAAAAAAACAACTTTTTAAATTTAGCCAGACACAGTGGTGAGTGCCTGTAGTTCCAGCTACTCGAGGCTGAGGCAGGAGGATCACCTGAGCCCAGGAGTTCCAGGCCGCAGTGAGCTATGATCACACAACTGCAACTGCACTTAAAACAAAACAAAACCACAAGGCATGGGGAGAACAAACAAGATCACGTTGTCCAATCTTTTCATAAATGGGATGGGGAAAGCAAAGCTTAGTGATTAAGTGACATGTTCAAGGTGGCACAGTAGTCTTTAAGGGGCAGCAGGGAAATAAGAACACTGCTAAACTAGTTCCTCTTACAGTATACACAATGCTGCTCCTTCTGAAAAGGGCAATTAGTAGATTTTATTTTGGTTTTGTTTTCTACCCAGAGCTTACACAGACCTACTAAACAAAATTCCATTTTTTCTGAGTTTCTCATTATTTAAGGACATTTTATAAGCATCTACATTCAAAGAGTCTAGACCCCCATTGTAACACTAATATAACCTAAATGATACATTTCAAAACATTTCATATTATAATGTAATATGGTATACTGGATGGGATCCTGGGACAGAAAAAGGACATTAGGTAAAATCTAAGGAAATCTTAATATAGCATGAATTTTAATTAATAAATGTGTCATGCCTGTAATCCTAGCACTTTGGGAGGCTGAGGCAGGAATAGTGTTTGAGAAGAGTTGGAGACCAGCCTGAGCAAGAGCGAAACCCTGTCTCTACCATAAAACAGAAAAATTAGCCAGGTTTGACATGCATGCCTATAGTCCCAGTTACTCCGGAGGCTGAAGCAGGATTGCTATGAAGATGCCACTGCATTCTAGCCCCAGCGACAGAAGGAAATCCTATCTCAAAAATAAATAAATAAATAAATAAATGTGTCAATACTGGCTCCCTAATTATGACAAATGCACTATACTAATATAAGAAATTAGCAAAGGAAAATGAAATGTGAGGTATATGGGAACTCTATTATCTTCACAACTTTTCTGTAAATCTAAAAATAGTAAGTATTTTTTTAAATAACTATTGTACATACTTCTGTATCCTACAGTAACTGGTATTACTAATGCTGGGATCTAATTAAATTTTGAACCATGGGTACTAAATAGCATTAATAAATTACTATTCCTTAGAATAGTGTTTCTTAAGCTACACCCTTTGAAATCCTCTTGACTTCCAAAGGTGACTCTGCCTCTTGGAAAAGAGAACCTGGCCAGTGGGGGTCTCCATCAAAGTCCCTCTTCCATCCATAAGAAGGGTCTAAAGGTCTGAAACAAGGATTCTGCTAGGAAGGGAAGTGTAAAAGCCACTCTCTATCCTAAAGAGAGTAAGATTCATGTTTTCAGAAATATTGCGACAGCTCCTCAATGGAGACAGCACTAGACTAAGGTAAAAGACCTGGACTCTAACCTTGCCTAGAGGCTAACCAGCTATGTACAAACTTACATTTCTTTGAGCCTCAGTTTTTGCATCTACAAAATAAGAGGGCCAGATGGTATGGCAAACAAAGTATGTTTCAGCTTAAAAGTCTCAATCATTTAGAATTTTTTCCCCAAATTCTCTTCTAGAAAGAGGAAGGCAATAGTATATGACTTAGATACTGCACATTGAAATATAAGGCTTTAATAAACACCAAAAAATGTCTGTCAGGGTTTTTTTTCTGTTTGACCTATTATTAAGCAACTATATTTATCAAGATATTTTACCTTAAAATTAAAAATGTGTATTCCATCTATCTGGCATGTCCAATTTTAAATTTCAAGCCCTATGACGTTTATTTCACAAATACACAGGTACTAGTTCCCTCCCATGCTACCAAAAAGCAAACAATACAAAAGTATAACTAACATACAGGATAATTAAAAAATAGTTTCAAAACATAATGCAGGCCGGGCGCGGTGGCTCACACCTGTAATCCTAGCACTCTGGGAGGCAGAGGCGGACGGATTGCACGAGGTCAGGAGTTCGAAACCAGCCTGAGCAAGAGTGAGACCCCGTCTCTACTATAAATAGAAAGAAATTAATTGGCAAGCCGGGCGTGGTGGCTCACGCCTGTAATCCTAGCTCTTGGGAGCCGAGGCGGGCGGATTGCTCAAGGTCAGGAGTTCAAAACCAGCCTGAGCAAGAGCGAGACCCCGTCTCTACTATAAACAGAAAGAAATTAATTGGCCAAACTGATATATATATATAAAAAAATTAGCCGGGCATGGTGGCTCATGCCTGTAGTCCCAGCTACTCGGGAGGCTGAGGCAGAAGGATGCTCGAGGCCAGGGATTTGAGGTTGCTGTGAGCTAGGCTGACGCCACGGCACTCACTCTAGCCTGGGACAACAAAGCGAGACTCTGTCTAAAAAAAAAAAAAAAAAGAAAATTAATTGGCCAACTAATATATGTAGGAAAACTAGCCAGCATGGTGGCGCATGCCTGTAGTCCCAGCTACTTGGGAGGCTGAGGCAGGAGGATCCCTTGAGCCCAGGAGTTTGAGGCTGCTGTGGACGAGGCTGACGCCACGGCACTCACTCTAGCCTGGGCAACAAAGCGAGACTCTGTCTCAAAAAAAAAAAAAAAAAAAAAATAATGCAAAGTTTCTTTGGAGTAATTTCCCTTCCTGTTTGACAATACAATCAATTATCTAAAGCACAGAAAATGGATACATAGAATAATATAAAACTGACCTGAGCTGTAGCTCAGTTAACACTTGTAAAAAATTAAATTAAATTAAATTAAAATCATAAAAAAAATAAAAATAAATAAAACTGACCTAAGCAAGTTTTTAGCAGCAATTTCAAATCAAATTTCAGTGGTTTAAGAAAACTCAATTAACTGCCTAAAACATATTCTCTTCTTGGCCAGGCACCATGGCTCACACCTGTAGACCCAGCTACTTGGGAGGCTAGGGCAGAATTGCTCCAGCCAGGAGTCTGAGGTTGCCACAAGTTAGGCTGACGCCACAGCACTCTAGCCTGGACAACAGAGTGAAACTCTGTTTCAATCAATCAATCAATAAATAAAATATATTCTCTTCTTAATTGCGCCAAGGTTTCAAATTTCTAAGTCTACAAACAAAGTGAAACTGTAACAATACTGAAATATAAACTAGAAAGGACAGGATTCCAAAGTATAATATGCTAATAATCTATCAGCAAATAATGTTATTAATTTATATTCAACTTCCAAAAACTACTAAAAGGGGTTAACAAAAAGCATTTGCCATTAATATCATCTAATCTTTGGTCTTTTCAAAATATTATAACATCTTCTCATATAGTGTTTAAAAAATCGTGTTTTAACAAACAATGCAATCCATAAAATAAAAACAAAAACTATCAATCAAATTGAAATGCATAATTTTATTACTTACTAAATTTTCAAGAACTTACAGATACTAAGCACAACTCTTAAAAGATATGGTCCAGGCCAGGCGCAGTGGCTCACTCCTATAATCCTAGCACTCTGGGAGGCCTAGGCAGGAGGACTGCTTGAGCACAGGAGTTCAAGAGCAGCCTGAGCAAGAGCAAGTTCCTGTCTTTCCTATAAATAGAAAGAAATTAGCCAAACAACTAAAAATAGAAAAAAATTAGCCAGGCATGGTGGCGCATGCCTGTAGTCCCAGGGAGGCTGAGGCAGGAGGATCCCTTGAGCTCAGGAGTTTGAGGTTGCTGTGACCCAGGCTGACGCCATGGCACTCTAGCCCAGGCAACAGAGTGAGACTCTGTCTCAAAAAAAAAAAAAAAAGTGTTAAAAAAAAAAAAAAGATATGGTCCTATTCACAAGCACATGGATTTCAAACAGTAAGCACAGCAGTTAAAGTTGTAACATCAAAATGTCCCTTTAAAAATAATCCTTGCTTTCCTAGTTAGCTCTCACCCCACGTATATTGAAATATTTCCCTATCACTAGAATTGGTAAAGATCTTATCATCCACGACACCAGTACATAATAAAGATTTAAAAGACATAATTCTTAATTAAAACATATGCAGAATGTATCCTGAGATATTACTTTAAAAGTATTAATCACAACATACATTTGAAGCCTTCTATTTTAGTACATATGAATTCGAAACTTCGTTTTATTATGCAGCGATGGCATTAAATATTAAATCACACTGTTCTATAACCCAGTTTCAATCAACATTTTTAAACAGTAAAACTTAACATTTTTACCTTACTAACATTTTTGGAATGGTCAAATTTCTAAAACCTCGGCGTCAATATTTAATTTCAAAGTCTGTACTCTAAGGAAACCAAATGTTGTATTCAGCACAGGAGGAGAGGAGTCGAACGGCTTATCTAAGAATCACTTGTTCTTCATTTAGCTTTCACCTTGCTCTGTGCTTTTATTTTGTTTGCACTGTTTTTCACAAACGAAAAGAAGATAACACGCATTCTGTCAGGTAAGAATGATCATCTCTCCCTCATTCTAAAGAGCATCATTATCCTCTTTAGTCCTCCCCTCCCTCACCGGTGTCAAGGGGAGTCGAGGGGGCCCGGGACCCCCCACTCCGCCCGAAGTTGACACCCGCTTCCTCTCCTTCCTCGCATACTGCCTTCACACCTTGACTCGGACCCGCGCCCGCCGGACCCTGCGGGTGCACCCGCGCCGAAGCCACCCCGCCCGGAGCCTGCAGGCGCGCGGCCGAAGCGCGAGCCCGACCTGCCACCCCCGACGGCCGCCCCGGGCCCTCGGCGCCGGTCCCGCCCCGACGCTCCCGGGTCCCAAGGCTTCGCTCCACAGAGAGCGCAGCACTCGAGACAGCGCACTCGGGCGTCTCCCACGAGGTCAGCGCCCGGCCGCCAGAAGCAGGCGGAAGGGCAGAGCCCGGTCGGAGTGGAAAAGCACGCAGCCCGGCCCGGGAACCGACCTGTGGAGACCGCCATCTTCTCCTGCAGCCCGACGCAGCCGCACGCACGCACGGGACGTCGCGCGTCACTTCCGGGAGTGCGCCGCCCGGCTAGCGTCACTGCAGACTCCGCCCCGGCGGTCTGTCGTGCCGGAGCGTGACGGCGTGCACTTGGGCCGAGGGGCGCCCGAGCCTCGCGCTGCTTCTCTGCTCCCGGCGATTCGACTCTCAGACTGAAACGCTGAGAAATGAGTCCACGAGGGTTGGGAGACAAAGTTGAGCCCGCCGCCACAGTGCAGAGCAAAAAGACAAAGAGAAGGCGTGTGGTGCAAGGCACGTGAAGCGAGCCGCGCGAACGGAGCGTGCGGGACGGGAGTCTGAACCGGTTTCCAATCCCTTAGTACGTTTGTAAAACTCATTAATCAATTTCCTATTGATTAAATATTGAAGTGATAATGTTTTGATAAAATTGAGTCACATAAAATGTGATTAAAATGAAAACCAACACAAAACATGGGCGTTGACAATTCTGTGTTGGAAAACGCTTTAAAAAGAGTTGGACAATAGTGAAACATGATTAAAATATGTCTAAACTTAAAAAGATCATTCAAGAAGCGTAAAATAAAATTTCTAAGTAGAAAGCATTATGTCATTCAGAACGCAAAGATTTTCCAGCCTTCGTTTTCCCCCCAGCGAAACTGGAAATGGTACTGCTGTGTAAGTAGCATAGCTCTAGATGGGTTCTTCACATATGTAAAAGCTATAAGTTAGTAGTGCTTGACACTGACACCGTCTTCCCCAAGAAACCAAACTTAAAAGAACCGAAATGACTTTTCTAAGAGCACATGTCTACCAATAGTTATAAAAGACCTGGGATTCTAATGAGGTCTGACTCTAAAGTTAATACTCTTTCATTCTTGGTATTCACTGCAATGTTTGTCATAATACTTGTAGATGTTGATGTTTCTATAGTGGTACTCTATTAATAGTCTGAAGCTCTTAATTGTAGGAGTAATTGTTATGCAGTGGAGTAATCACGTTGTGGTGGGGGTTTTTAATTCTTTCCATCTCACAGACTTACCGCATCTCTTTCACAAGGCTGAAGCTTTGGGAAAAGAAGACCCTCTTCATAATTGCTGAACTTGGAGTGTCAACTGCTTTTGCTTCTCAGTTGGTCCTACCTATACCCCCTAATATGACGTGACACTATATAGCATTCTTTTAATATTTGTTTCACTGAACGGCCTCCAAATATTCCCTCCTTACATTCATGCCCTAATTTTGTATAGTCATCTTGCATTGAGTGTGAGTTGGATTTAGTGACTCACTTCTAATGAATAGAGAAGGCAAAAATACTGCCATATCAATTCTGAGGTTACGTTTTTAAAAACATAATCTTTTAAAAGATTGAATTCTGTCTTCAGCACTGTCTTGCTCCCTCTGAGAGGAGCGAGCTGCCATGTTGAGAGCTGCCCTTGGTCGGGGGACACATGGCAGTGAAGTGAGGGCAGCCTCTGGCCAACAAGCTACAAGAAACAGGCCCTCAGTTCAACAGCCCATGAGGAACCAAATCCTGTCAACAGCCAAGGGTGAGCTTGAAAGCATAACCTCCCTCAGGCACACCTTCTGATAAAACCACATCCTGGCCAACACATCTATTGCCACTTTACTAGAGACCTTGAGGCAGAGAAACCCTGATAAAGCATGCTCAGATTCATGACCCACAGAAAGTGAGGTGGCAGATGTTTGCTGTTTGAAGCCGCTACATTTCTGGATAATTCATTATGTACCAATAGAAAACTAATATACTCTTCCTATGTACTGATACTGTACATTCACCAACCTTAGAAGCATTGTTCAAGTAACTATTATCATACATTTCTCACAAATATCCAATCCAATTATACCTGTTAGTGAACCACTACTAACATACAGTCACCATTTTATTAGGGCAGACTGATGGATAATGGCAAGTTTAAATATGCCCCTCCCAACAGAATCAAAAGTGACAAGTAGCAAAACACTGATCAAATTCAGTTTTACTTTACAAATGAGAAATGTTTTCTCAGGAAATGCTTAAATCTTAGTGACAAAATATATGAATACTTTTTTCAAATTGTGTAAACTAGACTTGCATAGCCAGTAGTCCTACTGTCTTCTACCCAACTTTCTTTGAAGATCAAATTACTTATTGTAATGGGAGGAAGTCGGATTTTGTATAACTTGAAAACAAAATGCTCAATTTTTGCTTTTTCTCAATGTTATATGAGGCAAAAAAGCAACAAACCTCAATAACAACCAGGAAAAAGAACAGGTGAAAGACTCCTTCAGCCTTCTTGGGAGGCAAAAAAGAAACGGATCCAGTCCATCCAGAAGTTCTATTGGCTCTACCTTCCAAATACATCTAACATTCTATCACTATTCACAAGTGTGCATTGTATCTCACCTAACTTATTTCCAAGGGCCTCTTTGCTGCCGCTCTTCTCACAAATGGCTCATTCCTACCTTAACAGCCAAACAGAGTGATCTTTTTAAAGCATAAATCAGATTATATGACTTCTCTGCTCAAAATCCTCCAGTGGCTCCCCAAATAATTGGAGACTAAATAACACTCTTCTGAATGACACATGGGTCAAAGTAGAAATCTCAAGAAAAATTAAAAATTATTCTGAATTAAATGGAAATGAAAATACAACATCAAAATTTGTGGGATGCAGAAAAAGCAGTCCTTGGAAATTTATAGCATTGGATGCATATATTAATTAGAAAAGAAAAAAGATCTAAAACAAGTTACCTGGCCGGGCGAAGTGGCTCACGCCTGTAATCCTAGCACTCTGGGAGGCCAAGGCGGGCTGATTGTTCGAGGTCAGGAGTTTGAAACCAGCCTGAGCAAGAGTGAGACCCCGTCTCTACTATAAATTGAAAGAAATTAATTGGCCAGCTAATATATATAGAAAAAATGAGCCGGGCATGGTGGCACATGCCTGTAGTCCCAGCTATTCAGGAGGCTGAGGCATAGGATTGCTTGAGCCCAGGAGTTTGAGGTTGCTGTGAGCTAGGCTGACGCCACGGCACTCACTCTAGCCTGGGCAACAAATCGAGACTCTGTCTCCAAAAAAATAATAAAAAAATAAAAATAAATAAAAATAAAACAAGTTACCTAAGCTTCCACCTTAGGAAGCTTGAAAAAGAGGAGAAAATTAAATCCAAGTAAGTAGAAGAAATTATAAAAATTAGAGCAGAAATCACTAAAATTGAAAACAGGAAATCCATAGATAAAAATCAACAAAACCAAAAGCAGGTACTTTTAAAATGTCAATAAAATAGATAATCCTCAAGCCAGGCTAAGACAAAAAGAAACAAGATATGAGTTGATAACATCAGAAATGAAAGAGAGGACGTCATTGCAGATTTCATAGGCATTAAAAGGATGATAAAGGAACACTGTGAACAACTTTATGCCCATAAATTTGATAACCTAGATGAAATGGACCAATTCCTCAAAAAACATAATCTGGCAAAACTCACACAAGAAAAAATCAAAAACTGGATAGATACATTACAAGAAAAATACAGTATCTCCCATGAACACAAATGCAAAAATCCTCAAATTCAACAATATATAAAAAGAATTATACAATACAACCAAGTGGAATTTATCCCAGTTATACAACAATATTCAACATTCAAAACTCAATTAATGTAATTCATCACATCAACAGGCAAAGGAGAATGTTCACATAATCATATTAATAGATATAGAAAAAGCATTTGGCAAAATTCAACACCCATTCATAATTTTAAAACTCTCAGTAAACTAGAAATAGAAGAGAACTACCTCAACTTGATAAAGAAGAGCTACAAAAACCTACAATTAACATCATACTTAATGATGAGATACAAGGAGCTTTCTCACTAAGATCAAGTACAAGGCAAGGAAGTCACTTCTCTTCACTCCTTACATTATGATGGCAGTCCCAGGTAACATAATAAAAAAAGGGAATAAATGGTATATTGATTGGGAAGAAAGAAATAAAACTGTCTTGTTCACAGAAGACACAGTTGCCTGTATAGAATTTTTTAAGGAATTGACAAACCTGGAACTCATAAACAATTATGGTAAGGTTATAGTATATAAAAATATTTTTTCCTGTATATTAGCAATGATTGGTGGAATTTGAAATTTAAAACATAATACCATTTACATTAGCACCAAAAAAAATGAAATACTTAGGTATAAATCTAGCAAAATATTTACATAATCTATACGAAGAAAACTACAAAATTCTGATGAAAGAAATCAAAGAAAACTAAATAAATGCAGAGATATTCCATGTTTATGGATAGGAACATTCAATATTATCAATATGTCAGTTTTTCCCACCTTGATCTATAGGTCCAATTCAATTATGAACAGAATTCCAGCAAGTTATTTTGTGGATCTCAACAAACTGATATTACAGTTTACATGGAGAAGCAAAAGACCCAGAATAGAGTGAGATGTGCACCATCTGGGGGATGGTCATGATGGAGACTCAGACTTTTGGGGGGAGGGGGGAAATGGGCATTTATTGAAACCTTAAAATCTGTACCCCCATAATATGCCAAAATAAAAAAATAAATAAATAAAAATAAAAATAAATAAAATAAAAAAGACCCAGAATAGCAAATACTGTATTGAAAGAGAACAAAGTTGGAGGACTGACACTACCCAACTTGAAGACTTTACTATAAAGCTACAATAATCAAGACAGTGTTGTATTAGTGAAAGAATACACAAATAGATCAATGAAACAGAAGAGAAAGCCTAGACATAGACCCACATACGTATAATGAACTGATCTTTGATCCAGGGGCACAGACTATACTATAAGGAAAAGACAGTCTTTTCAACAAATGGTGACTGTAACAACTAGACATCTATGTACACAAATAATAATCTAGAGATAGATCTCACACCATTCACAAAAATTAACTCATAATAAATCACACACCTACATGTAAAATGCAAAACTATAAAACTTCTAAAAGATAACATAGGAGAAAAATCTACAGGAATTGGATATGGTGATGACTTTTCAGAGATGACACGAAAGGCAGGATCCTAAGAATTGGTAAACTAGACTTCATTAAAATTAAAAATTTCTGCTCTAAGATGTTGTCAAGAGAAGAAAAAGAAAATTCACCAAACGAGAGAAAATATTCCCCAAAAATGTATCTGATAAACGATTGTTAGCCAAAATATATAAATAATTCTTAAATATCAACAATAAGGGAAACAACTCAATTTAAAAATAGGCCAAAGACCTTAACAGCATACCTCACTAAAGAAAATATACAGATGGCAAATATGCATATGTAAAGAAGCTCCATATCATATGTCACCAGGGAAATGA